CTCTTTTGTCATTTATTTCATTTATACCCAATATTATGCACTATTAATTGATTAATTTTTTTAGGCATCCACAAAAGTGTACATTCTTTCTAAAAAGTCTGTTTAATTATTATTGAAAGTGACAGTAAGTTAAATAACTATTATTTTTCCAGGCTCTTACACTTTCTCTTATTAAACTTACAATTGTTAAATTCGTATAAAATATGAAACAGTAGGAATTAGACATTTATGCACATTTTTGTGGATGCTAAGACACTCCCTTTAAAATATACTGCTGTACTCCATACAATGTACATAGCATTATCTAAAATAATCTGCTAAAAATCTAATCGCTAAGTGTATTGGCAGATCATTGCCGTGCATTATGCTCTGTTTCCAGTAAACATTCTCGTACAAGGATTCTAGCATGTTGAATACCCATCTTGAGGCGTTCAGCTGCACTGCGACTTCCAGCATATGAAAGACGAATGTCTCTTCCAAGTTCTTCGATTATAACCAGTAACTGAGCATATTTACCCTGTCCAGGTACAGTAGGGAAGTTTATTGTACTGGATGGGCTAGCCTGTGCTACTTGTACAGTTTGAACATTCTGCAAATTTCTTGGGTTTGGCACAGTGATCACAGGTTCAGGGATTCGAGGAATTTCTGGTACTTTTGGTGGAGGTGGCTCATTTAATTTTGTTATCGTTATTTCATTTAACTTTGCCAACTCTGTTAGTTTTGCCATCTCTGCCATTTTGGAATATTCAGGCATCTTTGTTATATCATTTTGTATGTTTGCCATTTTTATCATTTCATTCATTTTTGTCTTTTCGTTCATCTTTGCAATTTCTTTAGCCATTTCATTGATTTGTGCAATTTCATTTAATTTGGTTATGTCATTATTATATTTAGCCATTTCTGTCATCTTTACCATTTCATTTAGTTTAGCTATTTCGTTCATTCTTTGAACTTCGTTTATCTTTGCCATCTGAGACATTTTCATCATTTCATTCATTTTTGCGATCTCATTGATCTTTGTGATATCATTATATTTAGCCATCTCTGAAAGCTTCACCATTTCATTCATTTTAGCGATTTCAGACATCTTTGCAATTTCTTGCATCTTCATATATTCCGTTGTTTTAGCATATTCTGCCATCTTTTCCATTTCATATCTTTTAGCCATATCCTGAGACATTTTATTTAATTCAGTCATTTTGCTAAATTCAGCGAGTTGAGCCATTTGAACTATGTGTTCTGGTACTTTCCCCCTCTCCATCATTTGTTTGAGCTCTGCAGAAATTTTGTTCATATTCATTTCTGACATTTGTGCTATAGTCGCTGCATCTGGCATTTTTGAGAGTTCAGCAATTTTGGATATTTCTCTTGCTAAATTTTCATCCAAGCAACGCTTCTTTTTAGCACGATGCCTAGCCATTCGTTGAGCCTCTTGCATTCTTCTGATCGCCGCCTGCTCCTCTGTTTCTTTTGCCCTAGCGTTCTTCATCCTTTCTGCAGCAGTATACAATCTAATAGCACGTTCTTCTATTGTCTCTGTCCTTAATTTTTGTCGTCTATATTCTCTCATTTCCCTTACCTTTTTAAGGTAAGATTTCTTTTTAACCTTAGGCATAACATACAATTATGTACGCCATAGGTACAATCATCTGTATGGACTGTCATTTTTGTAAGATTTAAATATCAAACTTTTCACAAAATATATTCTATGCATACGTTTTGGTTGTATACAGTTGAATTTCTTGCTCCTTTTTTAAGTATTGACCAAGTGTTCATACGTATGCTATTACGTAATTAATAATGCCTACATTATTTGTTTGCAATACATTGCCTGTAATATAAAAAGAAGGTAATATTATTGAAACGTTTCTTTCTTTTTTCTTAAACAATTTTTTAAAATTACATTGTATGTTCACGTACATGTTTAAAAATATAGTAACCAGCGATAAATTTTCAAAGTATAATTTTTAAATCGTTGTTAAATAAAAATTTTCGTCGGGCCGTGTCACTGACACTAGTGACTGAAAAATTACGTTGCTAATGCAGTGAAAGGACATCAACCCAACGATCCTCTTCGAAATACTCCGTTAACCACTTTCTTCGTTGCGATAAGTGAAAAAATTGTGAAAAATAATTCAATTTTTGGTACCTAAAAAGACGCGGGCAACGAGCTCAAAAAAAAATATCATAGCACGTGCGCAAAAATCGAGTAGCGAACACTGTTTTCGAAATACGTGTATGTGTGTAGGTGCGCGCGTGTATTTATATGCGGCTACCTGTGTCGTGTTCCTTTGTGTGTGCGTGTCTCCCAAAATTCGAAAGAAGAGCGTCGTCAAGTAGCATGCTAGGCGCATGCGCGCCAATCTAAGAACGCCGTCTTCTCTGGAACGTTCACCAATCACAACAATGGCGGATGCAATTCGGTCAGTTCACTGAAACGCACGATTAACTCACCGTGAAGCTAAACCGCGTTTTAGACCAAATTCATTTTACATTCGCATCTTACTCGCGGTGAAACGGATCCCTTAACGGCGTTCCTATGACAATTAGTCCGGTTTTTCTTAAGATATCCTACAGACAAACGCACAAAAGCAATATCGGCCGACATGTAAGATTTTCGTTCGGAGCCACTTTAAGGGGCCAAGCGGGGTCGCCGATAGGCTGCGTGTGACGTGGTTGCGTTTATTGACCATAACCCCTTCCTACTCCCGTCTGCAACTTCACGACGGACAGGTGTACGACCCAAGAGACCGCAAAACAATTGACCGAACCGACCGCGTCTTAAAATACACGACGACATTGTCAAACAGCCGTGAACTCTCTTGGAATGTTCGGCCACCTTATCCTCTTCGTTAATGGTGATCTCAGCCTTTTTTTCATTCGATAATATGATCTTTCCATGGAAATATTCAATTTACGGTAAACTTTCTTCATGTTTGGAAAGAAAAATTGTTCCTTAAAGGAATGAAAAAATTTTGACGAGTTTTCTTCCGTTTTTCAGAGGAAACGGCGAAACTTACGCAGGTGAACACTCTAAAAGGATTCACGTTTTCGAACTTCCGAGTTACGAAAACACTTTGATGCAACAGACTTTGAATTAGTCTATAATGTTTCATTATATTTGTTATTATCTTCCATGACATTACGCTTCAAAGTTTTGCAATATTTTCGAACTCATATGTGCGGGACTCAGCGGTATTTTCTAGGTAATCGAAACATACTACATATACATATATTGTTTACGAATCTATAATTTTATTCAAATTTCGTTTGACAAGTGTAGATAAATTTTTAAATACTTTTTAGATCGTCGTTTGCCTTGTATGGAGTACTACTGTCACTATATGCATGAATTTTTTCCAGATTAGTATTTTTATATTCAGCACTCATGTTCTATTCACAAATGTATTTAACTTTTTTTTTATTTTATTATCCATTGGTACAAGGAAAGTTGGTCAATGTAACGTCTCTTATTAGTATAACTATTCATTCAGGAGATAATATTTAGGATGATCCGTATTCTTGCTAATGGGAATCACAAGTTTATTGCTTATTGAAATTAATGTATCTGTTTGTAGATGAATTATTGCCAAAAGTTAATTTCTGTTTCCAATAAGCATTCTTTAATTAACATTCTTGCTTGCATAATGCCTGTTTTTAATCTTTCTGCTGAAGTTTTACTACCTGCATATGTTAATTTAATATCTTTTCCCAGTTCTTCGATAATTCTCAATAATTGAGAGTACCTACTTTGGTTGTATGTAATATGTACAACAGTCGATGACTTTTCTGGTGACAAATACGTTTGAAGTTGTTCAATATTCTGTACCTTAACAATAGGATTTCCAGTTTCAAATTCAAAATTCGTATCTTTTCTTTTCAGTTGTGCAACTATAGAATGTTCTTTGAATCCTAATGTTGCAAATACTTTGGCTTCCTCCAAAGCCTTCTTTTTTCTGGCTCGAAATCTTGCCATCCTTTGTGCATCATGAAATCTACGGATTATAGCTTCTTCTTCAGTTTCATGAGGTTTTGTTATAAGTCTATGTAGACTCTTTCGTTTTTCTCTGCTGGAATCTACATTTCTCTTTGTTTTTAAGCCATTCTTACTTCTATCCCACTTACAACTATTCATTTTGTATTAATCTATATCCCTTTAATTACTTTCGCGTTTAAAAAATGTATACACCGTAAATTTCTTATAATGTGCTGTTTAAAAAAGTTATTTAAATTAGCCTCCTTTTTTTCTTAGTACGCACGCATGCGTAGTATCTGTTTAATTCAAAGACCAATCACAAGAATGGCGGATCTTTGTAGATGATACCGTTGAACTTTCGAATCACGTGCGTTTTTACGAGAAATATTTAACGTTGATAATACGTTTTGCTTCCGTGTTACAATACGATGAAGTTCTTTACTTTGTCGTGAATGTTAAATACTTGTTATTATCACAGACACCGAAGAAAAGGAGAAGACTATCGTACTTGTACGTAAGACTTCATAACGTACTCTTTTCGACCGTTACAGTTTCGCAAAAAAATTCTGAAGTCTCATTTTATTGAGGATTAGAAAGAGATAGATCTGCCTTCTTCTCAGTATGTATTACCGTCTCAAGGTGATTCACTCCCAAAATAGGGAGCTGCAATTAATTGGCAGCATTTCTTATATCTTCGGCTTTTATAGTTAACAATGTCGACTTCGCGGGAATTCCGGTTCCCGAATATTTGTTCACACAATTATTTGTAAATAATTGAGATCGTGCCTTTAAACAAATCATTTTTTTATTATGCATTTCAATGACAATAGGAAAGCTTAGATATGTACTATTGTTAATTAATAATATATATAAAAATGTATATATGTGTATATACATGTAAATACAAAGTTATTTTTGAAACTTAATAAGTGCCTGAAAAAATATTGACTGTTTAACATATATAGAATTACATATTTATATCTATCCTTGCAAGATATTTCACAAGAACTAATATACTTTCAGCAAGTTCAAATTATGAAAATAAATGTTAGGAGCAAACACTGATGCAATTTTCAATTTAGTTTATTTTCTTGATAAATATATAAGTAGACAACAAGTATAAATAAATATATTAGATCTGTGTTTTTCAGTAAAATATTTCTTCATGTTCCAGGTTGTACGTAAAGGTGTTGCATAATTTGGTTGCATCCTATGCTAGAGGTATCTAGAACAGTAGGTACCAGTTCTAAAAATTAAATAGATAAATATGTACAGTCCGTCGTACGAATATTATTTTCTTTTATTGTTAGTACTTCTTCCCATATACCTTTTCTTTAAATTATGGTCTTGGCTGGGTTGGCAATTGTTTATAAATAATTAATACTATATGTACTGTATTTATGATTAGGTTTTTTTCTTTTCTTTCCTCAATGCTTTAATTTTTAAAGTTTTTTACTTTTTTCATTGGTGAAATTTGAGCCTCATACAGTCTCAAAGTCTTTTTTGTAGTTATACAAAAGCGTCATTTGTATATAATGTGTTATTAAAGATTTGCTTAGAAATTTTATAAGGTATTTCTTTAGAAAAAATTCAAATTAAATTTTGTTTGTGATTACAAGTTCATCTAATCCCATTCTTCCTCTGTGTTTCCATATCCTAAATCTAGCAACATCTTTTCGTGTAATAATTCCAACTACCTGAAGAAAACATAAGAGAATAATATATTTTTTTTGTAGAAAAACTATGCTAAAAGATACGACAAGTGTTAATACCTCATTTGTATCATTTACTACTGGTAAATGGCGGAGACCTAAAGCTCTGAAGAGTCTAAATGCTCGTGGCAGTGCTGCAGACTGGAAAAAATAATAACTTCGTGTAAACAGATAGAATTCTTCAATAAAAAAACAGAATAACAACAAGTTACCTACATATTGTAATGTATAAGGAGCAGGATTCATGAAAGGTCTTAGATCTATTGTATAAGTTTTCTCTTCGTCGGTTATGTTTACTTGTTCAATTGTTGGATATCTAGGATATTCTTTCCTGAACAATTTAATATTGATGCTTTTCTTCCAATACTCTGCATCTTCATTGAAGATTTTATTTTGCAATAACACTATTAATTGCGAACGTAAGATCAGACCCCGAAATCGTCCATAAGAATGTATTTCAGTCTGAAATATAAGATATAAAAATTGATTTTATAAAACTACAGTATTTCTTAGTATGTGAGACATGTAACAGGCGTTACCTCGTCGCTACTAGGAGGATCCACTACAGGAAATCCATTAAATGTTACACATTTAAGAAGTTCCACTATATGTCCAACGTTTTCTACAGTTTTTAATGTTACTACAGGATGACTCATAATTTCGCTAGCATATATATTGTTTGATAAAGGCGGGGCTTCCCACGGTAGGATAGGAACTCCAGCCATTTGTGTATGAATCTCATAGATTCCCTGATGAATGACCGACAGAGGATTATAGTAACCCATATGTAGCTTTTCTTTAGACATAAGGCAAAGATTACTATATTATACGCACCTCGTTGAAAAAATCTCCAACCCATTTAGCCATAACAAGGACTATTATAACAGGTAAACCAAACGATATTCCTTGAGTGGCTTCTATCAATATAGCAGTTAAACTTATTGTCATTCTGACTACACCACCCAACTGTGCAGCTGCACCTAATAAAGCATATTTTCCAGGATCTAAAACAACCTGAAGAACAGATAGTAGTTTATATTTTATATGATATATGTACTATGAGTTATTATACATATTTATGCAACTCTTTCTTACACAGTTAGGAAAAAGTTTCGCAAGACCCGAACCGATTAGTCTACCCCATGCAGAGCCAATCAGAAGGGATGGAATGAAAAGTCCACTAGACATAGAGAGACCGAAAGTAAAAACAGCCAGGAAGAAGTAAAGTATAACAAAAATTGCTAATGTTATGTCGTTGTGAGATCCTAAAAATAGAGGTATTAGATGCAAGGTTCGTTTACGTTTTATATATATATATATAATAGGAATATACCTTTGGGATCATGGAATAAAGATCGTACACTACTTTCCGGAGTTTGAAACCATAAAGCTGCAACCGCGTTATATTCACCTTCACCGCAGAACATTCGAATAGGAAATTTAGTGGGATCTTGACCTAATGGTTTACAATCGTTTAAATAGTAAATCGTCACGAAGCCCATTGTTGCACTCAATACACCAATTGAAAGCGCTTCTATTACTTTTAACCATCTTTGTTTTATATATCTCAGACGGAAACAAGTAATTTTATAGTTTATGTGATTCCAGAAAGCGCCTAACAGTCCTCCTACTGCCCCCATTAACATGAACAATGGGATTTCGTAAATTTGATAAGGTATCGTCTCGAATTTTCCCAGGTTTAGTAAACCCGGATAAGAAAGGTCACCAGGACGTCCATGATATGTACTCAGTACAATATTTAAGGTGAATGTTGTAATCATACTAGCAAAAAATGTTCTCCAAGTAAGACTTTGGTTGAAAAAACTAGTCCCTTCTTCTATACTGAACAGTACTCCACCTAAATTATTTTTTTGTAATTAGAATCTGTAGCATATTTATTATTATTTTTTCCATTACTTACCAATTGGTGCTCCAAATGCAGCAGACACACCACAAGCTGCACCTCCTGATACAAAGTCCCGTTTTTCATGATCTTCTCTAAAATACTTGAATATTTTTAAATCTTTTTTAAACGTAGTGCTTTTTCCTTGCGATATTCCTGCTGCTACTACAGCACCAGAATGTATCATGGGTCCTTCCTGTAATTAATATTGTGGTATGAATAGGAGTACTACTATTATAAATAAGATTCTTATAAGTAGTAAACAATTTAAGGAATAATGGTAATAAATAGTACTTACTTTTCCACCAGCTAGGCCTCCTACTACAGTACAGATTACCCCGATTATCTTTACTGCTAATGTCTTAATACGTACAACTCGAGGTACTTTAATTCCATTTAAATAACACTTCACTTGCGGAATACCACTACCAGCAGCAATAGGTTCTACATAGGACACTAAAACTGCCCCTATTAACACAGGTAGTAAATTTAAAGCCAACCATATCATGTATGGTAGCCATAAACAATTATTTAATATGCATTGATCCATATCTGTTATCAATTGTAAGGAACAACAGTCAATATTATATTAATTTTCCATACTTTTACATTACTATTAAAGGATACAAAACTTAAGGCAACCATATTTTAGATGCGTCAATTCTTCTATAGATACATCTACAAAAGAAGCTATAAGGGCTGTACAAATGCCTATCAATAAGAAAATAAACCATCTGGCAAAATTCTTTTTAACTACAAATTTATATCCCTTTCTTCTTTCTTCATCTTGCAGAAGGTGGTTCTCGCAGGGATCATAATCTAAACTCTAAAAAAAAAGAAGATGAAGAAGAAGATAAATGACATAACAATACGAAACAAAGTAAACAAAAGAAAACACTTCAAAAGATGAATGGTTTCTAAGATAAGATACAATATACTTAACGATTAACATAAGATTGGAAAGAAAGGTAAAGCAAAATTATAAGTTAAGAGACAAAGCTTATTATCGGTAAGCGATAGAAGAATTATTTACCTCATAGTTAGTTGATAAAAAATTAGTGGCTCCAGGAGTGATTTCATCTGTGATAAGTCTTCTTGGATTACTCGATACCGTTTCTATAATATTTTGCGAAGAGAGGCTGCCATGATTGGAGATAACATTCTATCGAGTATAAAAAGAGATAAAAAAACATTGAAAACACAAACATGATGATACTATATTGTGTATGCAATTATGTGTCATTCCATGAATTTGTTTTAGGTAACATGCAGAAGATGTTGCACTTTGATTTCATAGTGACAATTGGTTCAATGGAAAAGAAAAAGACCACAACAGGTAAATCGTATAGGCGACAATGTACCTCGATTAGGTTAAGCTGCGCTGTCAAAACAAAAACAGGAATGACTTTCATGTGAACAAATAGCGTTGAGGATTTCCTATGGTTTTCCTACCCGAAATCTAATGTTGACGTCGTTGTTCGAGTATGATGCAAAATTGTTTCTCGGTCTTAATAATCGTTCTGTATCCTCGTTCGTGCAGCTATCAATACTATCTTCGACAGCGCTGTTTATCCTCACATTAACATGCGTCGGTGAATCTGTCATCTTTTCAAGCTTTGTTGTTTCTATCACATTATACGAGAATTCCGAAGACAAGGCCGTTAAAATTATCGTGTAAACGTAACATTTACACTTCCAGTTCCAACAGTGTCACTGCACACTGAACGCACACACGTAGAATGAGCATCCATTGTCAGCCACGTGATTAATACTATGATTCATGTTTCGACACAAATGGTGCTCAATTGGTCGCATAACCGGGCCAATAAAACATTCTTACAATTAATTAAATGTATTTGCTTTCGTTAAGTTGATATTATCATAAACAAACACAGAACTCTGTTTGCAAGATACATCGACTTTTATTCAAGTAGTATATACAATATTTGCTCATTATTAATCGTACGTAATTTCAGATAAAAAACCGTTTAGGAGCTTGAGAATAGGTTGGTTTATGCGATTCTGGAATATTCTTGGTCATTGGGTTGACAATAAAACATTCAACCATCCGTTATCAAAAAAGCTTGAAGACACTGTACCCGCTTGTAATAAATGGATTGCTCGACACGAACCGCTTTGCATTGCCGAAGCATGCACGAGCATTTACAAACAAAAAGAGGACTGAAGAATTCCGTATTAGGTGATAAGGGAAGAAGTTTCCTTCTTTTCTCTTTATTTCTACGTCACATTATGCAACAGCGATATTATTGTAATCTTAATACTGTTCTCATTTTTCTGTTCTTTTAATCGCGGACATGGAATCCCAATTAGCAAACCTCGGACTTCCGATTACGTTATCGGAAATTGCAATGGCGCGTGAAATAGGAGTGTCATCTCGGACGAATCCTGTTAGATCTTAAAAGTTACATACCCGTGGAAATATTGTTAAACATTTTTTCATAGCGAATAGAATAATAGAAGGTCTGTGAAACACTAAGCAATTCCCTCGTCCAACAATTCTTTTGTTTCAACGTTTGCTTTCCTATGCATAGATTATTGCGTTCTCAAGAGGAAGTAGCCCATTTACATACATATTTACAGTAGATTAACATCGTTGTCGTCATACTACGCGATTGGTAATGCACGCTTATCCAGTGTATCCGGCGGAAGTCAATACTTTTGCGCCCTGGCGTTCCGAACTTCTAAGAAAAGCGTGAAAATCGTGTGTAACGCTTCCAATCTGGAGTCCTCGTCCGTTGGAACGTCGAAGAGGTTGCAAATGATATCAACCAGATGCGGAAGATCACAGTCGAGTTCGGTGAAGTCCAGTTCCATTTCGTTGAGCTTCTCTTCGACTTCGGCCGGCCATTGCTGGAGCAGAGAGTCGATGTCGGGCATAGGTTTCGTTAGATGAACGGCCGGCGGATGTTTGCTTCTGTGAAGCTGATTGATGTCCTCGATCCACTTGTCGATGGACTTTGCGTTCTTCTCGGCATCCTCGATTCTTTTTACCACTGTCTGTCTGGCCGCACCTGCACTCCTCAGGTGGCTGCGGAGTTGTAAGTGCAACACGGCTGGGTCGGACTGATCGGTGCACGGCTCGTCGAGAACAGTCAGTCCTAGTTTCTCCTCCACTCCGTCCGGCCTAGGAATCTTTATGAATGCGTCTATATCACCAACCGCCGGGATGTAGTCGGGGATAAATGGAATCAGTTTGTAGTTCAGCTCTATCCTTTGCGGAGTATACCTGGACGTACCGGAAGTATGAGTCTTTCGGTTCTTCTAGTTCGAAGGGAAATCAAATCACGACGACGAGTACCTCATTATGTTTTGAAAGAGTTCGGTCACTTCCGCCGACACCTCTAAATCCTCGAAATCCTTCGGGTTGTATATCTCTACCTGTTGCGCGTTGCTCGTCGCCTGGATGTCGTCGTCGTCGCTTTCCTCGCTGTCCGAGGGATCACTGCTGATCCCCAGCGACTTTCCGAAGCTGTTTTCGTTGTCCGAATACCTGGAAACGAATTAAACGAAACCATAATCATCGTCATCGTACGAGTCCTTCTCGAAGGAAGAACGATCGCTCGCGCGTACCTTCTGAAATTAAGTTTTCCACGCGGCGAATTAATCCCCATAGAGTTCGTATTTTCCTGTTTGATCGGTTGTCTAGGTCTCCTGGAGCTCGAAGGCCTGCGACGTACAGGGCTTTGGATCTCTTCGGCGTTGCGGACCTCGATGCTCTCGTCGAACTTGGTGAACGCCGAAATATTCTGCGCGTCCTCTTCGTCGCTGCTGTCTTTGATGTCCATCGTCGAACGATGGTCATCCATTCTCCTCGTGAATTAGTGTCCCCGAGGGAACGATCAGCTGGAATAGCTGTCAGGATACCGTAGATCGTGCCTGACGAACGATTGTTTTGATTCCCGTATGTTCGGTGTTTCTATGGTTTCGTAGAGCGGGTCGATGAGCGCAGGCTCGTTCGTGGTAGCCATAACACACGCTCTTCCGAGTCGCGCTATCCTGTTTCCTTGTTCCGAACGGGTGTCGAGCTTTCATTTTCGTCTTTCCAAACGAACTGTGATCCGAGTATTATCGAGCCGAATGTACGGCTGATCTTTCGCAAGAATTGTACGTTTGATGCAATAAACCTAGAGCAGTTTTTATGACAGGGAATACCGGAGTCGTAATAATTTTACGACTTTCTTCAGATAAAACGTCCTCGAGTTTCGATCGAGTTATTTATTTATCGATAAGAAAGCGTGAAAAGTTTGCCTTGGCAGAAGTGATCGACGACTCGATGCTCGTTGACAATGTATTTTATTTACACGGCGTCAAAATTAGCAAGACAGCTTTACAAATAAGAATGAAATTTCACGGCAACGAACGCGAGCGACAAAAGTCGCATCGATGCTCGCGAACGATCAATATCAAATAAAACACGTGATACAAACTACTCTTGACGAGAGTGCCGACTCGAATAAAAACGATAGAAAAAGAGTAAATGGATCTAAAATGTGATTATAAACATATTCGAATCGATTGTATATGAATAATAAATTAGGAAACGATCGGATAGCTTTGAAACGACGCGAATGCAACGCAACGTAGAATTGAGCGACCGATAACGTTCGCTCGCTATTAATTCTTCAAAACGATAGACAACGGTTAAACACCACCGTTAACAGTCTTCCTATCAATTTTTTAGGATCTCCCTAGACCCTTTGCGTTTCTTAAACAACTAATTAGCCTAAATTCGTGAGAAATGAATGAAATGATTGTTTTCCGTTAGACAGGGTATTTCCCATAGACCAGGCCGCTTCTCGTCCGCCTCACCAACCACTTCTGACATATTTTAGGGAGCAGCTTCTCCGTTTGTGTGCTCTGAGAGCTGTGCAACTGAGCGCCAGTCAATCCGAAGATAGATCTCTTAAGGATACACCTGTTCCTTTTCCTATTGCTGGACCGAACTCGGGAGAAGCTCTCGTGCGACAGATTCCTTTCCAGAATTCTTCTCCGAGGGAAGATCGTGTCCCCGCAAGCGTCCAGACAGTCCGTCGCGTTCGAACTAATGTGCAGCGGGCGACATAGGTTCTCTTCGAAGTTCACGGACACTCTAGCGGTAACAAAATAATGATAAGTCCGACCACAGTGTATATTTCGTTCTCATTTTCCGCTACTATCGATGTTCAATCTTAATAACGTGATCTACTCGTAAATCGAACGAACAGCGCTCACGTTTCGATCCCGGTGGATACGTAAGGTCGGCCTTCGTCTCTCTCGCATTTCGACGAGAGCATCACGAGAAGAAAAAGGACCGCACAGATGACGGAGAAGGCTAAGACATCGGCGGTGAGGTTTCTAGAGGTGAGGCCGCGCAGTGTGGAATCGGAGGAATCGAAATCGTCGCTCGTTGCGGCCAACCAGAAGAATTTGTACAGGATCAAATCCTGAAGGATCGTTTCCGATTCTTTTAATCGCTCGTCCTTCCCCGTGGAAGGTGGAATCGAAGTGGTAAACGAAAAGGTTAATCGCTCGATCCTACCCGTAAGTAGACGAATATTTGGCGGAACATTAGTTGCACCAGATAGTAAACGTCGCTCAAATTGTCCATTGTCGACCACCACTGATTGATCTCCGGGTTTCGATCGTTCGTCGAGTTATCTATGCGCGGGTGCGGTGGTGAATTTGTTAAGCCATCCTTCCAAGAAACGTCTCACATTGCTTTATCTGCTCGTTAACCAGAATTTGACAAAAGCTTCGTAGTCGGACACTCTCGTTCTCATTTGTTTCATCGAATCGGCGTTACTCGACCAGCCAGAAATTCGCGCGAGTGACTCGACACTTTGCTCTTCTTCGCTTTCGATTTTTTCCAAGGCAGATGATTCGCGCGCTCGTGCCGCTATCTTGAGATAATGTGGATTACGATGAACGCGAGCGATGCGTCTGGAAGTTGTACATTTTTCTATAAGGAAGGCGCGAAAAACGGTATCACGAAATGCAATAAATCAGCCTCGTTCGCTTAAGTTCCTTGAACAATTGCCGTTAATCCTTTAATCGGCGGTAACTCCGTGGGGCTTAAGGAAATTGTGTTTAACACGCACTTCTCTGTAATACGCTCTCTTGCAGATAATATCGATTTATCGGTGCTTCCTAGCGAAAGGACAACAACAATCGTCGGTGGCCGTCGTTTCGCGTCGATTCACGGTATATCGAAGCAGGCACGTGTCAAGTGTCTGCTGCCTGTCTTGGACGAATCAAATCGACGCTATCGTTCGAGCAATTTTTCAAAATTGCTAGTCGTTTTTTTAATGATCTTACGGTTCTGACCTATTCTTTGGGCTCTGATAAAAGAAACAAGATTACGATCCCTTATCAAAGTCCTCCGTTGTAACCGCATAATGATGGCTGGATTACGTCGCGTTTATTACCCTAAATCCGATATAATTTATCGACGTCTGTTCGAGGCAGTCTTCGACGAACTAAACCCGCTTTATCCTCCGGTTCCACGTGGTACTCGCGTACCCCGAGTCCTCAAGGATAACGGATATCCGTGTATGTGCACTTGTACCCGTGTACCTTCTTTCATAGTCCCCGAAAAGATATACATGTTCCTCTGAAAATTTGCTCAACGATTCGTAGTTTGTAGAATAAAATACATATCGGGCAATGGAACTTCCCGGCACCTTTAACGTTAAGGATGAATCAACGAGGTGTCTGGGAAGGTCTATTGTCTGGCTGCAAACTGTTACCGTTCCCGAGGCGTACACGAATATTTAAATATGCGTGTCTGGCAATTATCGGCACGTGCTGGTGCGCGTACCTGCACGTCGAGCGAGCTGCAGCGTGCCGAAGCCGAGATGAAATTCGAAGAACGCAGGAGAAGGTTCGCGCGCTGGTCGTATCTAATCAGCGTGCGCGTTAAAAGCGAGCCGTATTTTACCGGTCCCGGTGTTCGCAACAGTTCGTCGGTCAGGCTTTCTCGGACAAACCGTTCGCGAGCGGTCCCTTCGTTGGCCCTAGATTTCCGGGGTCTCTAGTCACTGGGATTTCGAAGCGTTTCGAGTCGGGTTTCCACGCGTATTCGTCCGAGACTGTTCAAAAGGGCTCTTCGAGAAGAAAACGAGAACATCAAAGGGATTTTCTGTGATGATTCCATCCGCGCTGCACGAGTGGAGCAACGTCCGTCCCGTCGAAAGGATAACATATCGAAAGTGCAGTCCCGCCAAGGAAACCTGAAACAGCATCGACGTCTACCCGAGCAGAAGGAAGGAAAAGTGGAGCGAACGAATCGCTCGGGAGGAAGTACCGTCGATTTCAATAATTACTGCTTCGTTGAAATTGTTTGCGGTGAAACAAGCTCGAGCGCGGCATGGCTAAGCTGGAGAACGGCGTTTACGTGAGATATTTTTACGTGAGAAACGCGACATTTGATATGCGCGTCAACTAACGACCGGAATATTTGCAGACGCAGAACGGCTACGTGAACGAGGCCTTCCAGATGGAGAATCTCCAAGCTGGAGGGAAGGGGGATTATTCGGATGTCACCGAGAAGACGAAAGAGAACGGGCAGCAAGAAGTACCGACGGAAAACGCAAACACTGTTCGTAATATTTTACTTGGAATATCGGTGAATCGCTTTAGTTCGCGAGACGCGGTTAACCATTGCTTCAAATACACGGTAAAATTAACGATAAGTTTGATTATCTTCTTCGTTGACTCTACGACGTCTGCCCTCGATTCGTCTCGCGTTGAATCACTTTCGTTTGCCGCGCTTCAGCTTCGAATCGCCGAAGGATTCACTACTGTGAACGATGTTCCTTTCAGAGAGGAGAATGGGGAGGTGGATTAGAATTCTTAATGGCATGCATCGCCACTTCCGTCGGTCTGGGAAACGTTTGGAGGTTCCCATACACTGCGTACAATAATGGCGGCGGCGCTTTTCTCATTCCTTACATCATCATCTTGATATTCGTCGGTAAACCGTTTTACTTCTTGGAGGCTCTTCTAGGTCAGTTCACCAACAGGTCCTGCGCGAAGATGTGGTCTATGGCCCCTGCGATGAAAGGTAATTACTGAAGGGTTACGGTCGGCGGAGATGATTTCATAAAAATATCGTTTCAGGGCTGGGATATGGACAAGCATTCGCAGCGATGTCCGTCGTTTCTTACTACTGTAGCCTGATGGCCCTTACGCTGTACTATCTGGTGGCTAGTTTTCAGGCTGAACTTCCTTGGTCGTTTTGCCGAGAGGAATGGCAAGGTTACTGCATCGATGCAGCAGGAACCAGCAACTACGACAACGAATCGGGTGCCGCCGATGATGGCTCTGTGCGCAGCTCCGCGGAATTGTACTTCAGGTTGATTCTTTACGACCGAAATGTTTGGCTTCCTTCGGCGAGCTTGCGAAGTCGAGAAAATTCATGAACGATCGGTTTCTCAGGAAAATAGTTCTGAACGAGTACGATTCTATCGAGGACGGCATTGGTGCTCCTTCCTGGCAGCTGACAATTTGCCTCTTCTTCAGCTGGACCACGATATTTTTCGTGCTCTTCAAGGGAATAAGAAGCACTGGCAAAGCGGCGTATTTTCTAGCATTGTTCCCTTACGTGGTTATGATCGCTTTGCTGATCAGGGCGGTGACGCTGGAGGGTGCCGTCAACGGTATCCTCTTCCTAATCACCCCTCAGTGGCAGCAGCTTTGGCAACCGAGCGTATGGTACGCCGCCATTACTCAATGCTTCTTCTCCTTATCGGTCTGCTTCGGACCCATCCTCACGTTCTCGTCTTACAATAATTTCGGGCACAGCGTCGGCAGGTGAGATTTTTAGACATAGTCGAGTACGGGAAGATTCTAAGTGATTCTGTGCAATGTACCAGGGATGTAATGATAGTGACGACTTTGGATACTTTCACGAGTTTGATGGCCGGTTGCACGATTTTCGGCATCCTCGGTAATCTGGCTCACGAAATGGGCGTGAAGGACATATCGAAGGTGGTCCGTGGTGGCACTGGCCTCGCATTTATTTCCTATCCCGAAGCTCTGTCGCGATTCAAGGTAGTTCCTCAGCTTTTCGCCGTTCTTTTCTTCATCATGATGTACGTGCTAGGTGTCGGTAGCGCGGTAGCTCTCTGCGGTGCCGTTTTCAGCATTGTCTGCGATCATTTCCCCAAAACACCTCAGTGGAAGTTAGTACTCGTGGTTTCTATCGCAGGATTCGCCATTAGCCTCGTCTACGTCACACCTGTGAGTACCTTAAAGAGTTCTAAAAACAATGATCCCCCAAGGCGCTGAAAAATTCGATCGTTTCAGGGTGGCCAATGGTTCGTGACCTTGGTAGATTATTATGGCGGTACGTTTGTGGCCATAATCGTTGGAGTATTGGAGCTAGTCACTATCTTCTGGATCTATGGACTACCGAATTTCGTGAACGACGTGGAGTTCATGCTGGGACGGAGACCGACGTGGTATTGGAGATTTTGCTGGGCTTTCATCACGCCGATATTGATGATCGTTATTCTAATTTATACTATCGTCACTTATGAACCACCTACCTACGACGGTGCAGTGTTTCCTGGATACGCTTATGGTCGGTGCTACAAGTAAAACGGCGCTATTAACCGAGCATTTTCCTAAAATTGAATTATTTATAGGTATCGGATGGTTCTTGTTCAGCCTGGGAATGATGTTCATCGTAGGATTCGCGCTTCAGAAACTGATACAGAAGAGATCGTCGTCGTTGATCGAAGTCAGTAATCGATACGTTCGACGATCAGTGCAATCGACGGTTTATCCAATATTATTGTTTCTCTCTTTGCTTTTGCAGACCATAAAAGCAGCGTTTAGACCTTGCGAGGAAAAATGGGGGCCCAGGGATCCGAAAATACGCGCGGACTGGAAAGAATTTATAGCCGATAAAGATTTCAGGTGTCGCGGAGGCTTCGTCGAGACTTTCTTAAAGTGAAACTAGACAAATCGAATTTTGTACAGATTAAATGTATATGCGATGTAATTTATTGAACCCGAGAACTGTTCGTTACCTTCCTTGATTTCCTCGTCGATGCAGATACATTATAAATCCGGGCACAATGATTGGCGAGGACGATTGACCTCAACTTGATGAATAGAAAGTTGCTCTTAATTGTCGCATTGGTCACGCTCGAGTGCGTTCGCGCGTCAAAGTCTAACAAAAAACGCGTCCGCAAGGAAAACGAGTGAACGCATTCTTTCGAGATGGATTGGAAGAAATGCAGCGGGTAGAAGAGATTCGCGGGATTCTCAATCGGAACCCGTCGGCCATGTAGATTGGTATCGTCTTACTAGACGTTGGATCGGCCTCACTCGTTCGATTTACAAAACAATCTGCGATTTATAAAACAAGTAATGCATCGGCTTTCAATGTTTTCGGATGACGAGCATTCGTATACGTTAAGGGTAAAATTATATCACGAACCAAGTACTTATGTATCTTCCGTGTATAGATAAAAATTTGTTCATCGACGTTACGAGTCCACCAGGGATTTTACGAGTTGAACGTGATCGTAAAACGTTTGTTTTCAGATAACGGATAAAGCGAATCAAGACGGATTGCAAGGGAAATTTGATAAGTGGAATCCTTCAATGCGAAAATGGAAGTGGCCGTTTGTTCCCATGAATTCTTTCGACGTGTTGTTCGTGCAGTTGAATAAAAGCCGTCGATCAGTCTTTCAAAGCCTGTTGCCTCGCAAAGATCGTGTGCAGATCGTTGAATTAGAACTGGAGGTGCGATCGTATGTGTTCAAGTGATTATGAACTGTCACAAGGTTCGTATCGTTCGTGTGTTTCCGTGTAATTTTATGCGATTCCTGATAAACAAACTTACGTATTTCAAAGCGAAGTCAATAATCAGATGAATAATTGAACGAATCACCAATTGAATATGCCTTTATTGAATTCCGTATCGTTCTATGAGATATACATATCTAAAAATTATTCGAGAATCGTGGCTAGAACGACCGAAGGAAATCATATCGTTAACAGGTGATTCCTTAAAAATTTCGTGTCACGGGCGAAGTGACATTCTTACGATAGTTTCATTTTCGTGATCTTCTCTATTGCGATAACGTGGAACCTTAACACCTAACAAACAACTGTTAGAAAGTGTAAATCATTTGTTGCTATAAATGTCAATTATCTTTTTCGCGAAGCTAATCTAAATTGCAGTTATAAACGTATATCAAAGCTTGCTTTCGGTTATTTGAATAACAATGTTGGTCTATTTCGAAACGTCTCAGAATTGATGGCTTTCCAAATTATATGTATGTACATACACAGATTTTCATATACATCTATACATATATATGAAAACAATGTTTCCCGAATATATTTTTCCTTTCACGGAACGGATTCGTAACGGATTCGATATTTCCTTGATTGCGCTTTAATAGCAGCTTAAAATTGAGAGAAAATATTCGCGAATGGTAGACGACACGCTTATGTAAACACCACGTTAATTGCACGAATTGCATCGCGCAAAATTGTCAGATAATAAGAGGAAGATAATCCAGCTGCGAGGTAAATAATAAACGGAAGGTAATGAAATCGTCGATTTTTCTGTCCAGAATGATTCCACGTGCAATGAAGACGTACCAGGTTCTTACAGGCTCTCCGTCATATCCGGGAACGAGAAGCAGTTAGAAAATGGAGTGGGTTCTTCTTCTTCTATCTTATCATTTTTTAATTGAATTTTATCGATCATAATACATTGTGCTATTCGTTTGTATATTTTCGTAGTCAATGGATGTCGCAGCTGCGCCGGAACAATGCGAGCGTGCCCAATGGGGAAGCAATATGGAATTCCTGATGTCCTGCGTGGCGTTCTCCGTTGGTTTAGGCAACGTCTGGAGGTTTCCCAGTACAGCGTACGAAAACGGAGGCGGTGCGTTCCTCGTGCCGTACCTCGTGGTGCTCTTCATCATCGGCAAGCCTGTATACTACTTGGAGATGATCCTAGGACAATTTAGCAGCAGATCCTGCGTGGAAATTTGGTCTTTGTCGCCCGCCTTTAAAGGTATTCGCCCCGAACCAATCGGATTCGATTATTTCCTCGATGAAATTTCCTCCGGGTCTAAGCGCATTTGTTTTGACCGCGTTTCAGGGATTGGATTCGGTATAGCTGTATCCGTTTTCTCGGTGGTCACCTACTATTGTTCTTTGATGGCCTTGACGATGTACTACCTGTTGGCCAGCTTTCAACCGGTTCTTCCGTGGACTTTTTGCCACGAGGAATGGGGCGACGAATGTTTCGACAGCACGTCGGCTACCCACGAGACCACGTTTAACGTCAATAAAAGTAGTTCGGCCGACCTGTATTTCCGGTAGGTATTCGAGAAACACGAGAGACTAACCTAACTAAGGTCGCGGCTCGAACAAACTTGTTGAGGACTCGTTCCGTTTTCAGGAAGATAGTTCTCAATGAAGTAGGACTTCAAGAAGGACTTGGAGAACCATCTTGGAAGTTGGTCCTTTGTCTTTTAGCCAGCTGGGTGTGCGTCTTCTTGGTACTCCGCAACGGCGTGAAAAGCAGCGGCAAAGCTGCCTACTTTCTCGCTTTGTTTCCATATGTGATCATGATCACGCTGTTGGTGAGGGCGGTTACGCTCGACGGGGCTGTGGATGGTATAATATTCTTATTCAAACCAACGTGGGAGAAAATTCTTGATCCTGCGGTTTGGTACGCCGCTGTCACTCAGTCCTTTTTCTCTCTGGGTGTCTGTTTCGGCGCTGTTACCATGTATTCCTCGTACAATCGTTTCGACCATAATGTCACGAGGTAATTGTCTTTCATTGATTTCCACTGGTCTCGATGAAATGTCGTCTTTCCCTCTTCGCAGGGACTGCACGGTAGTGACAACGATGGATCTAGGCACGAGTCTTATCGCGGGAACAACGATTTTTGGGATTCTAGGGAATCTCGCCCACGAGCTGGGCAAAACAGACGTGAGGAGCGTGGTACGCGGTGGCACGGGCCTCGCTTTCATTTCCTATCCGGAAGCGCTCGCTAAATTCACCGTGGTTCCGCAACTGTTCGCTGTGCTCTTCTTTCTCATGCTGTTTGTGTTAGGAATCGGCACCACGGTTGCTTTTACCAACGTCATTGTCAGTATTATCAAAGACAGGTTCCCCAGGTTTCAAAATTGGAAAGTCGCCGCCGTTGTTACAGTCCTCGGCTTCTTGGTGGGAATCGTTTATTGCACGAGGGTGAGTAACACGCGTTTCCCGTGCAGTTAAGAAGCTTAATTCTAATTTCGATCACTCGTATAGGGAGGACAGGGTATCTTGAACTTGGTGGACTATTTCGGTGGGACGTTCATCATCGTGTTTCTCGCCTCTTTCGAATTGGTTGCGGTTTCCTGGGTTTACGGTAAGGTTTGTCCATCTTTCCGGTCGCACAATATCATCGGCGAGAAGTGTTTTATCAATTGTTCCTACCACGCAGGTGTCGACAACCTTTTGGACGACGTGGAATTCATGGTAGGCACTCGACCGTCTTTTTACTGGAGATTCTGCTGGAATTTCGCCACTCCGTTATCGCTCTTCACGATTTTAATTTATTTCCTGCTCGAGCTGTCGCCCCTCAAGTACAACGGCGAATATTATACGACTTCAGCTTACGGTAGGGAGACGTATTCAAAGAAAACGAATGTATAATGATCGTTTCCTGAACGCGCTCGTGCTGTTTCAGCGGCTGGATGGGTACTTTTGGGATTGGGAGTGGTACAGTTTCCTCTGTGGGTCGTTATTACCAGGATTCAGAACAGAGACAAGCCTCCTCTGGACGTAAGCAATAAAGAGAATAAAGCAACGAGATATTTGGAATCTATTTTTCTTTACATTTTTAGATCCTCAAACCAAATTCCGAATGGGGTCCGAAGGATCCGACAAAGTACAAAGAATGGAAAGAGTTTAAGAACGCGAAGAGGATATCGCGGATGAATTCGAGTAAGAAAAGATCAAGAATTATGAGAGCGTTGTTCGGTGATTAAAGATAACAATAGTATGCGGATTTCGATGGATGCAACTGACAAGATATCCACCGATTTTCGCGTGTTTCGTACTAGACTTCATTTTTAAATAAACATGCTAAGCCTAATTATGTTAAACAGTCGTGTATTGGGAGTGCGTAGATTTACATTTCGTTGTCGTAATTTTTATCGTCTGTTTCTGAAGTGATCGTAAGTCTTTTGATCCAAGATAAGATCTTCCGATTTTCTAGAGTATCAAACGTTCCACGAAATTTACAAATAATTAGCTTTACCAACGAGATATCGATCGACGAAGCACTTCGCCGTCGATCAAAGGTGATCATTCTTTTTCGGAACAACTGGAGGACCTAGCTTTCAACGCCTGTCACTAAGCGTATCTCCTTTTTATTTTGGTTTTACACGGAACAAGATGTAAACTAACTGAAGCCACCTGGGCTGCGTCCTCAGACTCCTCTCCCTTTTTCTTTCTTCCTTGAAAAGGAGCCAGCTCTTTTTACACTTGGTTCCCCTTGGCCCCCATTTCAACGACGGCATGAACGACGCATTTAAATTCTATAATGAAGTCACGATTCGTTAACCCTTGATCGATAAGAAAAGCGAGCCTCGATCTTCGTCGAAGAATGGTACCTTCAAGAATGGCAGTCGTCTGTTCTTCATCAGTTGCGCTATCATCCACAACGGTATTTGGGAGACGCTGAAGCAAAGTAGAACTCCACCGGCAATGTGAGCTGACGTCGGAAATTCTTTTCCACCGTAAGTCACCGGTGATAGGGTTGCGACGGTATAAAGGAAGATTACTATTAAAATTAATGGTGTCACGAAGAACCAACAGATTCTCCAATAGCTGCTCGTTTCTTTGTCCATCATGAACTCGAGATCGTCTACGAAATTCTCTATGCCTGTCGACAACGTTTCATTTGTAGGAATCAGTTCTAACGTTTCAGAAGTGTTTTAAAGCGAATACGAACCATATAACCACATCACCGCTGTGATTTCGAAGAATGCCAGGATAAAGACGACAAACGAAGTGCCATAATAATCGACCAGCGTCAACAAGAATTGGCCGCCCTGCGGGAAGCGGAACATTTCAACTGTAAAATATCTGAATTATTTGAAATACACCGGCATACGTAACCGTGCCCGGGATTAACGTCATCCATGGCGCTTCTTGTTA